CATTTTGAGCCTTTCCGATAATGTGGAATAGACTTAAAATTAAAAACTGTAACAGTAGCCAATAAAAAACTTTTTATTGCGATTAAAATGCAATTTACTGAGTAAACTATAGTAATATCTCATAAAATGAATTCCATACTGTGAAGCTCGGAGCCCATTGTTGCAAAAACGTACTCCGCACTTTGGGACAGTAAATGAGTTATAAGAGTAACAGTCAAAACCTGTTGATTAGAGCAGTGGTTTCAACAATTTGGTCTGAGGCCCACTGGTGGTCCTCGGGCTGGTTCAAAATGCAAATCACTGACGCGCAGCGCTACCGCCGAGGACATGAGAGAACAGGTAGGGTAGGTGTATTCGCGGGTTTTTTGCCCCGCCGAGCCCGAAGATGAAAAAGTTTGAGAACTACTGTGTAAGAGTAGCTCAAGAGTTGGTGGTGAGTGCTGATGATTAGTTGCCTTCCCTCTATTCATAAGTGCATTATAAGAATAATGGTCAGTTTTCACTATGAAGTCAAACAAGAGTTGTAGTGTGTGATGCTAACTAGCTACCTCCCCTCTAGTCTGTTAGCTCAAAATTGGGGACGGCTAGCATAGGAAATCCTTGAATTTATGCTAATATTCGAAAACAAACTATCCAGTCCAATGGTTCCCAAATTTTTTTTTTTTTTTTCGTAGACCACTAATTTTTTTTTTTTTTTTTAGAGAGAAGGAGGATTCGGCATATTACATACTAACAGCATAATTTAACACTGTAATATTAACTATAGACCTACCTTTGTATATTTTAATACGATGGGTTGGCTTGTTTTTGAAACCAAAATACTGTAACGTTGGGTGTAATTTTTGTCAGCTTTAGTCTCAGGACAGCATTCATTCTACTTCTGTATTTGGATTTCAAAGGTGCATGTGATGAAAATCCCGTCTCACACAGGTTCAAGTAGTAAATGGTATCAGAAAATGAACAGCTTTGTTTGTAAGTTGTGTATACTCTCCAGTTCTTTGAAACCAAAATTCTAATAAAATATTTCTTTTAAATCTGACCTTAATATTCCTTCATGAGGAAATTCCAACAAGCACCGTTATTTCTTAGAAAAACTAGCAGGAAAGTCATTGTTTTACAATGCATAAAAACAAATAAGTACTTTTCCCCACTCTAACACATAAGTCATATAGCGTAAAGTTTAGAATTTTTCACACAGAAATTTTCCTTGTTTGTATAGCTAAATCTCTATCTTTTTTCCAATCGGTTGTCTGTGCTGTACCCACCTTGGCTATCGAAACCTGGTTTCTAGCATTATAAGTCCATAGACTTATCTTGTGTTATTGGGGGACTTTAAGGTCTAAAGTACGAGATTTCTTCCAAGACGTACAAACTCTTTCTGCATTATGAAACCATTCTGCGAACCACTTGAAAGGAGCTCGCAGATCACAGTTTGGGAACACCTGCTCTAATCTATCAATTTTAAATTAGAGACGGCTCTTAAATTGCAGACAGGCTCTTATGTTATCTTGCATGAATTTTCATAAAAAATGAAGTCAAAGAACGGTGACGAGTATTCAACACCGATAAAGTAATAAAGATAATATATTTTTAATATCTTTCTAGAACTGCGTCCAGTTTATGTCAAATGATCGCGAACTTTCACTTATGAATTTTTTAAAACTGGAACGTATTTAAGACTTTATAAAACCGCCGAGGGAAGGTTGAACGTGTCATTTTAATATTTGACTATTTTATTCGAGTAGTGGAAATGACCATTAGAGGATGAAGATGTTCGGTAAGGGGAATCGAACCCATAGATTGAGATTCGAGCACCTTCATCGTCAGCTCCAAGGATTTTTACGATTCTCTGACTGAATAACGATTTTATAACGCACCCCAGGCCTCAGCTGAAAGTGTGGCGTGTGTTCAACGGCATCAAAGCGTAAATCTACGACATCCCGATCTGCTGCCCAGCACTCTAATTAATAGAGTACATCTGCTAAATCTAAATAATACGTTATCGCTGTCTTATTATACTTCTTAAGTTGTTTTCTTACGCAAAGACAGTTTTCAGTTGTTAGGTTCCTCAAGGGTGAAACATTTGTCATTAATTTCAAACGCGAATGTGTAACAATATCAAGTATTTATGTTTTGCGTCATGTAGCGTATACATCCAGCCAAGATATTTCTTCAATGTTCCCTTCGATTTTGGTTAGATGTTTTAGAGTGATACAGTTAATGAGTATTAGACCTCAAAAACAAAGATTAAAACTAAATAAGTAAAAGGCGTTTGAAGATGGGCGAAACTTATTCCATCAAAAAGTTACAGACGAAATTATCCTTCTCGCACTGTTACCATTCGTTCACATTTTAATACGAAAAGTATTGTTACGACAATGCAGGTCACGTGACGCTCGTATCACGCCACTTCCTTCTCGAACCTTCATGAAATGTCGGGAGACTACTAGATTGGGGTAGTCATGTATATATAAGACCGGCCAAGAAGCAACGTAAGGTAATGAGTAAGAATATTGTTGAGCATGTGAGAAGTTCGTTGTGAATTATAGCGTTTGTTATAGAGCGACTGTTGAAATTAAGTGTATCGCAAAGTTGTATTCAGAAAGAATAAACCAGTTTTATCTAAGAAAGGACTTGTATCGTGTTTATCAAACTGAATAACAAAAAATAACAATTAAACATTGTAATGCACAAAGAAACATTGAATTTTACATGTTAATAATGTTTTCTTAATATATTGTAAATATCAACAGAAAATAGAAAAGTATAAATTAACGAACTGTATTTTCTCTTCTCATTTTTTTATTAACAAAAACTAAAAAACAGTTATTAGAAATTATATTTGCTGAAATTATGCAACCGATTCTGAAAGTTAAATTTGTGGACTATGTTTGTTTGTAATTAAGCACAAAGCTACACAATGGGCTATCTGTGCTCTGCCCATCACGGATATCGAAACCCGGATTCTAGCGTTGTAAGTCCGCAGACATACCGTTGTGCCACTGGTGGGCTTGTGGACTATGTACAGTCGAACAAAAACATCTGTAACACTTTTCAGACATGTCTAATAAAACATTATTTCATATGACAGGAACAAGAACATATTTCAATTGCCTTGAATAAGATAGTAACTCGAAAAGATGACTTGTATAGTCTTCTGGTGATTTTTTAAAGCCAGTAAACCTGCTTTAATATAATAAAAATCAGTAGTACTGTTTAATTTATATCAGGTCCATTATCCTAAAATATTTTAGTTTGTAACTGGTCGGAAAGAACAGTCTTCTAATTATATATAAAATAATAAGTGAACTGAGAACACTGGTTATTAACAGTTGAGATCGATTATTAGAAACATGGGAAAACGTTTTGGAATTCAGTGGATTGTAGTTGTCGATGCATATTTTTCTGCCAAAGGATTTCTTGATCTGTTTAATTATAAATAAGTAAATTTCCGTCAGAGATAAAATTACTAGATTACTCATAAAAGCCGAATAGTGCAATAAATAGATAAATAAAATAAAAATCCCGAACTTGATAGAGGATGTGTTGGATTGTATTGGTTGTAAAATTTGGAGTTATATGTGGGTTTAATATATACATGTATATATATATATATATATATTATTTGGCTATGTGTCCTTTTGTGAGAAAGGGAATTAAGAAATATGTTTTTTTATTGATGTATCACCAATTAAAATATTATAATTATCTATTTATGAATATGGACGATTATATTTCTTTCTTTCAAGGAACGTCGTTACACGCATTGACACGATAACCGGCCATCTCTAAGGTAGTACTGATATTCCTGAAACTTTAATAAGTGCAAAGTGTAATACTATGTGCATCAAGCTGTCAGACGTGGTGTCGAGGTTATTATGTTTTACGATTACGAATAAGCCAAATTATTATACTTTATAGTGAATATGAAAAGTAGGATCTGCAGTTTTTATAAACCAGCATTACGTTATTTTTGTAACTTGTGATTTTAAGAAATATTCAACACTTTAATTTGTGTATGGATTTCTTTATAATTTTGTAAGCTATTTTATAAAACTTAACGCTGAAGTGACTGATGCTGGGGCAGTAACCTTAACAGCTCTCTGACTTTGATTCAGTTTGAATGAATAATTGAGTTATATATTTATGGAGTGTTTGTGTATAAACTACTCAGAATTGAGCAGAATGATATGAGTAGGGTTAAGGTTCAGAGTAACCTAGTAAGAGTCACTAACACTAACACTGCTGTGCATATTATTATCATACGAATGGTGAGAGGCAGGAAATTCAGATATTCTTCACTTTGAATTGGATTCTGAAATTGCTTTCCGTATATATATTCATGAGTGTAAACTTAATCCATATAATGTTGAACAAGAAAAAGTATTCTTTAAATTGAAAAAAAAAATTTTTTTTGCTCGATTGTCATATGATAAGACTAATTAAGAATAAGGATAAAACGTAGTCAGTTTGTTAGATATGCTGTTCTTAAGAAGAGCTAATATTAGTACTACTACTAGTAGTAGTAATATGATAGAAAGTGAAGTTTTCTTTTTTGGAATGATATCACATTTTTCTCAAAACATGAAATCTCTAAACTCACCAATAATAATGTTCAACAACCAGTGAATAACATGCACAAATTGACATGGAGATTAAAATTAACTCAAAATCTGGTTAATAAGACCAATAATATATAGTCGTAAAACTAAAGCATACAGAAATGGCAAGTGACATTCGAAGTGAGTCAAGTGGTAGTGATACAGGCTCAACTCCTGAAGAAGAACGAATACGACGACTATTTCAGACTTGTGATGGAAATGGTGATGGCTTTATAGACAGGTAGGTTTTTTCTGGTATTATTTCTAGAAACTGAAATCATATAACACTGTATGTGACAGGACATTATTGCTGATGTGAAACATCAGTGTGAAAAACCTTCTGTATTTTAACGCGTATGATAAAACTTGTTTCGTGTGTAGTTATGTATAAGTTTTTTGTTATTGTACATGTATTTACATAGTGTACACATTTGACATAGCTATGGGGCAGGATTCATCTCATGACACAAATTTATATTTAATAGTTGTTTGTGTAATTTTTAAGCATTATGCTGTTTTATTTCTTGTGTAGTGTATTTTTTACTCTTAGAATAATAATGCATTAGATCTTTGTAAAATCTGAATTTAAAGTTATTTAGAATTAAGAAACCTGATAAAACTGAAAGAACATTACCATAGTACTATAGATAATATTATAATGGTATTAAATATGTTTTGAAAATTATAATTTTTTTGTTTAATTAGGATTTATTCCACATTTTATCTCTTTCATGGAATAATACTTTAAAGGAGAGTGATATCAGTTGAAATATATATTAAATTGGTAAATAATATTGACATATGATGTTACGATAAAATTTAGATTAAGTTGAATCTGTTCTGAATTTAATGAATGGATTTAAAGCAACTAAAAGGTGTAGAAAGCTATTGTTATAGTTAATAGGGAATATGAAAGTCTGTTACTCAAAAAATCCATTCTGATTTGAAGGCCTTTAGTACTTAATGAATGGTAAAAGTAAGCCTAATATTATAGTTTTGAAATATTCTAATGGGAACAGTGTCATGGAGGAAAGGAATATAGTTAAAATGGTACAAAAATATTTTTATTTACTTGTGTATTTATCAATGATGAAAAATAAAATGTATTAAATATAATTTAGGTATCTTTATTGGCGATGAAAAATCTTGATGAGCTTTATCCTAAAACTGTGAACAAGCTTCAGAAGATTTTTAACTATTTTTTTTCAAGAATTGTTTGAAACTGTAGAAGTTCCAGATAGTTGGAAGATTGCCAAAGCATTTTCTATTTTTGAAAATATGAATTAAAACAAGATCTGGCAAATTAAGCCAATTACTGTAATATGACTTCAGTTATAAGTAAGGAATTGGCTGGAATATTTGTAAGAGATGATTTAGACATAAAAGAGCTTTCAAAGTTGGCATTTTTAAGTAGAAATTAGCATTGTTCTAACTTAATGGAGATTTTAGTGCAAATTCTAACCAAACCTAAAGTTGAGTATTGTTTTTGCTCGTAAAATCCTTAGAAGTAGTCATTACTTAACTAATACATATTGTTTTTGAATTTCAACAGTTACAGATGGTTGGAATTGAGACTTTGGAACTAGGACACAACTGACTGTTAGTTAAACTTTGTCTTCTATAAACATTAACCAAAGATCCTAGATTGGAGCTTAGGTTTATTAATGTCCATGATCGTTACGTATTTGCTAGTGACTTTCTACTCTTGAAACTCACCTGATTTTAACTGATGGTTATATTTATATATTTGGCTCATTGATTTGTTTGATGTTGTGTGTTATCTACTGAAGGAGAGCCAGGATGAGCTGTGGCCTGGGATTTGTATGTGACATTGTTATATGTTCATATGAAATTTGTTATGCATTGTAGGATCAGAGACTTGTTACTTTTTGTTAGGGGTATATGTGGATTCCTGATTTTGTGTTATAAAATATGTTTATTCTCTTCAGGCATATACATAATTCAGGATACACTTTTAAGTCATACACATTTTAACTCGTATGTTTTCATGTCTTTAGTAACTTAGATGATAAATAAGCAGTCATGATTCTTGTTTTTATATTTTCCATGGTTAATTACACAAATCTTGCCATAACTATTAAAGACATAGATTATACCCAAAATGTTAAACAAACGTTATCTGCAACATTAAAACTCAGTAGTGTAGTGGTTGCCTTTTCCACTGTATAAATGAATCTAAAAATAATATTTAACAAAACTTTTTGTGACACCGTCTTCTAAACATGCTATTAAAGCCATGACCTGTCGTTATATACAACTGAAACTCAAAAGCTTTATCATACCTCCCCCCTCCTCTTTCACTTGTGAACTGAAATCAGTCTACATGCGTGAATGACTTTTTAGTTCATGTATATACATGTGTAAATGAATTTTTCATTTGCAACTCTCTTTAATAGCCAATATTTATGTGTTTAATTTATTGTACACATAATGTTAAATATACCTTTTTTTAAGAAAAATTAATTCACACACGTGATAGGTATAAACGAAGGACAACTAATAATTGACTCTGAAATAAGTTTGGTAACTTTTAGGACTTGTGAGGAAAAGTTTTGAAGGCTCTTTTATTAATCTAAATGCACTCAGATGTTAAAAAACTCCTTGGTGAAGTTCAAACTTTATTTATAATGACTTAAAAGAGCTCGGCCCCCCAGTGGCACAGCAGTATGTCTGCGGACTTACAACGCTAGAAACCGGGTTTCGATACCCGTAGTGGGCAGAGCACAGATAGCCCTTGTGTAGCTTTGTGCATAATTAAAAACAAACAAACAAACAATAAAAGAGCTCGAGATGATAGAAATAGTTGATTAGTAACTTTACAGTAGAATTATAAGATGCATAAGACTGCATTTTACACATGAATTAGTGAAGAACTTACCCATTCCTCAAAACTAGTGTGTTCATCTCTTCAGGAACTTTTTCTAACAGTGATTTACAGTTTCTCTTGTGTCTGCGGACTTATACTGCTAGAAACCGGGTTTCGATACCCGTGGTGGGCAGAGCACAGATAGCCCTTTGTGTAGCTTTGTGCTTAATTACAAACAACAACAACAGTTTCTCTTGACCCTCATATTAAAATTTTGGAATACTTGATTTGATATTTTAATGTTAACTACTTGTTACTTTTAGCTTTTGTAAATTTCCATCTTACATCAATGAATAAATTTAAATGAAGATTGATTCCATGTTTATTTAGTTTTGTTTTCATCATGTATATTGGTAGATGACAACTTTTTTATTTAATTTTTTCCTTCTAAGCCAAGATCTCTTGGCTGTATGTCAGCAGCTGAATCTTGAGCACTGTGTGGATGAGATTATGGAACAATTAGGAGCTGATGAACATGGCAGGATCTGCTATGCTGAATTTCTTCGCAGGAGGATACAGCTAATGAATGAGATAAATGCTTTGACTTTATATGAACAAGACAACCAAGGAAACCTTACACATGTCGATGAAGTGAATCCAAACCAACCCATTTCCCAAGAGGCCTCTCCAGCTCATGAAAGTAGCAGCATGGGGAATTGGCCTACAAGTAGTGATACTAGTCAAGGTGAATATAATAATTGTTACATACAAAATAGATTACTTATTCTTTTGTAAAACATCATCATTCTCAAGAATATGTGGTACAGAACCATTTTCAGCAATAATATTTACCATATAAGTAAGAATTTTTTGTTATACTCCTTGTTACTTACCAAGATTTCCATGACTCCTGTATTAAATAATCTCTAATTCAGATTCGTATAGGTATATTTATGTTTTTACCAATTGACACTATGAATGTGTAATGACACGCTACAAACGCACTGATGGTTTTTATACATATATATACTAGCTATATTACTAGTTTAATTGCAAAGTATGTGTAACTATGTGGCAGAAATAACCACAGGACATACATGTTGTGGTTGAATCAGTGGATGCTGTTCTCTTCATGATTATTAACATTTACATTAGTCAGTGATTTTAACTGTAAAACAACAGCTTGTATAGAAGCACCCTTCCATATTTTGTGGCAGTGTTAGTTACAATCTGATGGACTGAGATGTAGCGTATTAACAAATATATTTATTTTGTGTTATAATAAGGAGCAGTCTCTGGAAAGCATGATAGCTGGGAGTTTGATTCAGGGGCACGGGATCTAAGTCCTGAACTAAATACTCTGCAGAAGCTGATAGAAGAGTCTGGTGGTTCAATTACCAGTAACAGTAGTGATCTTTTGGAGCTGGCCAACAAGGTAAGGAATGCTTTGTTACTTTTCAAAGGACTTTTTTTTTTAACTTTAATACCTTTTTGATATATTTATTTTCAGAGCACGGGTGTAATTTGGGACCAAAATGTGGGAGAGCAAAAAAAAAAAAGCCTGACTTAATTACTATAAATGTCATGTGCATCCCCCCCCTTATGTTTCAGAGAATTCTTGACAGCTGTGTCTTCTTAATATCACTTACTACAGCAGTAAAGCTTTTTAGAATATTCTTTGTTGTTTTTGTTTGTGTTAGTGGTATTCAGTATATTTTTCAACTAATAATATTTTAACGTGTCATTTTCGTATGTGTTTGTAGTATTCAGCATATTTTTCACATAATGATAAAAATATATTAACGTGTTGTTTTTATTTGTGTTAGTAGTATTCAGTATGTTTTTCACGTAATAATAAAATATCTTAATGTGTTGTTTGTGTTAGTGGTATTCAGTATATTTTTCAAATAATAATATTTTAACATGTGTTGTTTTCATATGTGTTTGTAGTATTCAGTATGTTTTTCACATGATAATAAAAATATATTAACATGTTGTTTTTGTTTGTGTTAGTAGTATTCAGTATGTTTTTCACATAATAATAAAATATGTTAATGTGTTGTTTTTGTTTGTGTTAGTGGTATTCAGTATAATTTTCAACTGATAATATTTTAACGTGTCGTTTTCGTATGTGTTTGTAGTATTCAACATATTTTTCACATAATAATAAAAATATGTTAACGTGTTGTTTTCGTATGTGTTTGTAGTATTCAGTATGTTTTTCACATAATAATAAAAATATATTAACATGTTGTTTGTGTTAGTAGTATTTAGTATGTTTTTCACCTAATAATAAAATATGTTAATGTGTGTTTTTGAGATGTAACTGTGATCAGAATAAATTAATCCATCTTGCAAAATCTTTTGTATCTTTTTAAAGAAAAACCAATTCAGGGTTCCAAATGAATGCTAGTAATCTAGTATTACAGTTTTACTAGTAAATCTCAGAAGACACTTGAAAGAAATTAGTAATACACGTTTTGAAGGATGATTTACAGATTTTTTTCACTCAAATATCAGTGTGCTCGCAATACGTGCATCATTTCTGTTATATTACAAGATTCTGAGTATATAAGGTTGCTAGAATTGTTATTAACAAGATTGTCTCACTTGCCAGTGCCATTTTGGTTCTGTATGACATACTCAGGATAACTATCAGGAAATAGGGATCATTCTGGTTCTGCATGACATATCCAGGATAACTATCAGGAAATGGGGATCATTCTGGTTCTGCATGACATACCCAGGATAACTATCAGGAAATGGGGATCATTCTGGTTCTGCATGACATATCCAGAATAACTATTGGGAGATGGGGATCATTCTGGTTCTGCATGACATACCCAGGATAACTATTGGGAAATGGGGATCATTCTGGTTCTGCATGACATATCCAGGATAACTATCAGGAAATGAGGATCATTCTGTTTCTGCATGACATACCCAGGATAACTATTGGGAAATGGGGATCATTCTGGTTCTGCATGACATACCCAGGATAACTATCAGGAAATGGGGATCATTCTGGTTCTGCATGATATACCTTGGATAACTATCAAGAAATAGGGATAGCAAGATTTGTAGTCTCAACTCCTTTGATTAGTTCCCAAGACAATTAGTATATAGCCCCCATGTGTCTCCGCAGTAAGTCTGATGTCTCATACTGCTAAAAACTGGCCTCTGCTATGCAGTTTGGTCAGCATTGAGGTTAGAAACACTGTGCCGAGATGGTTAAACATTAGAGATGACAATAAAATAGAAACCACATAAACTGCAGATATTTGTTTTTCTCTTAATTTGTCCATGATTAACACAAATGCTAGGCCTGTTTGGTTTCTAATGCTTCACCAACTTTCAGCACTAAAGCCATGACTTTTAATAATTAAATAGGATGGTCAGCAGCAGTGGGTTACTGCAGGCTTTGTTGATCCAGGTGCTCGTGGCCTAGATACACCAATGTCCACCCAAATCAAGCATCTTTTAACTACTGTGAAATACTTAAAGTATAACACAGTCATGTGTAATTATTATGAGTTTTGATATTTGAAATCATTTGAAAAGAAAACATGATACAGAAGTTTTGTGCTAGAAACCTGGTTTCAATACCTGTGGTGGGCAGAGCACAGATAGCCCATTATGTAGCTTTGTGCTTAACTCCAAACAAACAGAAGTTTTGTATGAAGTAAATAGGATATATACACATTTAATGACATTTAATACATAAAATAATTATGGCACAGTCGCTGTGAATTTTGGAAAATAATAATGTTTCTAGTAGCAGTACCAAATCCCAGAGCTCTTTAACAAATATGTCCCTGATTCAAACACAACTACTGTATGACAGTCAAATAAAATACAGTGAATTTTTCCTATTAATAGCATATTTTCACAAGTAAGTCTGAAGATGTCTGCATCATAGAAGTGAAAAGCTTGTTTCAAAAATATGTTACTTATTAATGTGATGAAACCCTATGAAGTTTAACATCACTTATCAACCTACTTAATGGCTCTTAAAGAATACACTATTCTAATTAAAACAAAAGCTTTTATTACTATTTTTAATATTTTGTAATATCCAAGGTAAAAAAAAAGGTTAGGAATTGATAAAAAAAATTATATGTTTATTTGATACAGGTGCTTTTAATAGATGGAAATTTGAATAATTGGAGCTTTTTATTTTGATAAATCATTATTTTGTTTGAAGGAAGAGGCAATACTTTTGTAACTGAGGATATTTAAAGTCATGTTTTAATGTTAAATAAAATTTTAGTTATAGCAAGCACGAACTAAGATTATGAAAGGAATGGGAACAGAAAGATATGTAGTTGGATATTCTTATGTAGTTTTTTTTTACATTACATGGAAATATTTGTTGCTTTCATTATGAAACGAATTGGAAAGTAATTTTTAAAACTCAAAAGATATCTGGTTAAACGATGCTATAAACAGGAAGGAGTTTCTACAGAATTTTATGCCAGTATTCAGTACCACCTTTAAAATCATCTGCTGGTTCTGTGTACTTCTATGTAATTCACTCCTTAAAAAACCTTAGTTTGATAGTTATTGTTCAAGATTATCCAAAATAATTTGATTGACATATGCTGATACATGAGAATTTAAATTAGATAATAACAGTTTTGTACTTTCCAGAGAGAAATCTTGTCTCATTGTGTCAGAAACTAAGTTTATTGCATATATTTTCACTGCCAAGAGCCATTAAAAACACTTATCTCCAAGCATGTGTTTTAACTATCAGGTTGGCGGTGTAGTAGTTTGAGTTGTTAAACATGCCTTACTAGTAACTTCTAGTGGGCTAGCCCTTTAACTCAGTTGGTCTGTTTATTTTGGAGCAAAGCCACATGTGGGATATCTGCTGTGTCCACTGCAGGGAATATAACCCCAGATTTTAGCATTGTAAGTTTGTAGATTTATTGCTGTTCCATTGGGGGACAACTTAGTTGGTAGAGTACACTTCTAGCACACAATAGGTTTTGGGTTTAAAGCTGAGCTGAGAAAATATAATGTAAGAAATAAATATATAATAAAGGAAGTCAAAATTCTACAGTAATTTTAATTTTGTTTTGTTGCCACCAGATGTTTTCAAAACCTACAAGTTCAGGTTAATAATTATTAAAATTATTATTTTCCAATTCATAATTTCTTCTATATTATTCTTTGTTCATGAATAAAATACTGAAATTCAGAGTAGTTTCATGATATAGTGTTTTTTATTGTTCTAAGGTACCAAAACACTGCTATTTTTCGTTTTGTAACTTCGGTAATGATGTTCAGAAACAATTCATTTATACTTCATAAATTGTTTATTTTTATGAAAACAGACATTCACATTAAACTATACTCTTTTATTTCAATATCATCTTTGATGGCTGCTCTCTAATGTTTAAGATATTGATTTTGATAAATAAGAATAAAATTCCAAGCTAACAGCATAAGGTTGTAAATGCATACTATGATAAAACTCAGTTAGCAGTGTTCCGAGTTATTCTATAGAGCTCTTGGTTCACAGTTAGTTGAACCACATTTAAAATCAGATATTTGATTCTATGTACAGTTGAATGAAGTGTATTTTAATAATATTTGATTTGATAGAAATATGTTCCTGATATAAGATATTAACTGTTCAACTGAATAATAATAAAGACCATAAATAAGTGTTGAAGTAATCAAGGTGATTTGATTCCTAATTTTGAAATAAAACATCCAAAAGTGTAAAGCAAGATTCTTAGACACCAATTTCTTTGCAAACTTTAGAGCAGTGTTTCTCAAATGGTGAGTCGTGACCTCCTTGGGTCGGGGGGGGGGGGAGTTACAACTATCTGCACTGAGACATTTTTTTTATTGAGTCCTCAAGGTGTCTGAGAGGTGCACGTATCACCTTTGTTATAAACTGTGATGATCTGTGCCAAGAAACATCAAGAATTTTTTTCATCCTTGTAGAGATAATAGGGGGGTCTTGATGACCAAAACCTGGACACGGGTTGTCTGGCAAATCTGGCTGAGAAACACTGCTTTAGAGAGTTCTTCAGTCACTTGGTTATCACAAGATGTATATACGCATATTTTTTTGTGTCTTACTTTGACTGAAATGAGCTTTGTGAACCAAAGTTATAGGGAAGTTGTGATAAAAAAAAAAAGATCTGTACTTCCACATTTATATTTATCTTCCTTACCATCTGATTGCCAATGCTGTTATTGGAAAATCTCTACAATGTTTTGAACTGCTATGGGATGACTTAACTGTTTTTTTACTATCACTCATACTTCTGACATTAAGTGTTTGTATATATATGTATGAATGTATTCATATTTTGTTTCTATAATTTTTTTGCCATATAAAAAAAGTGAGGAGGTACTTAGCCTTATATTGCAAAGGCATCAGAAAAGTGTTTGTTACAGTAACTGAAAAAACTAATA